GAGGGAGAGGGAGAGGGAGAGGGAGAGGGAGAGGGAGAGGGAGAGAGAGAGGGAGGGAGAGAGAGAGGGAGGGAGAGAGAAAACATGTGAGTGTGTGTGTTTGGGTGTATGTGTTGATGAGAGACAGTTTTAAGTGTGTGTGTGTGTATGTGTGTGCAAATGTGCGAATGCTGTCCTGTGTGAGTGTGTATGTATGCATGTAATCGTGTTTGCTGTAATAGTGTGCACCTGCTGTCTTGTGAAAGTGTGTGTATGTGCATGTATGTGTATCTAGTATCTATGAGTAGGGGGTATGCAAATTTGTGCATAGATGAATGTGCAAGCATCTTTGGATGAGAGTAAGGGAGAAGCGTGCCTCACCTGTATCACGTGACTGTACTGGACCACAGTACCCTTGAGCTTCTTGTTCTCCACATCATTCTGCTTCTTCTCCAGCTCTGCTGCATGCTGAGGACAAATCACAAGACCAAGGAGAGAGTTTAGTTTCAGTATTAGAAATGGTTTTATGACAATAACAACACAAACAGGGCATCGAAGTGCCAAAGATTAGAAGCCTTACCAGAGAGAAACATACAAAGAAAAGAAGGAGGAGAGATTAAGCCAACAGACATTTAATAATTATGAAAGAATGAGCAAACCACTCAAGAGATTCCACAAACTGCCCAAAAGGAGAGAGTGAATTACAAATTTGAAGCAACCAAGCATAATAACGGCCATATGTTTCCAGAAAACAGACAGGACAACGAAATCACTGAAAAAGTAAACGGCTAAGACGACATTCTGAATCTATGCCAGGGTAGAGAGAAACACATCGACACAATAATAACCTTTTAGAGCTTGGAGGGGACAGAAAGGCAAACAAGCAGAAATAAAAGAGTAGTTCCTACCAGTGTAACCCTCTAACCACTCAGCTACAAAAGATCAGAAAGACATGATTACAACTGAGTGTTGCTGTATATGTCAAGGGGCATGGGGAAAACAGCAACAAGATAAAAGTTTCATGAGAAATCCTTCACACAGCAACCAGAAACAAAAGGGGAGAAAAACTCTGAGGAAGGGGGGGGGGGGTCTGACGTCAAATGAGAGTGCAACAGGAGCAGGAAAGTTTTATTCTACTGAAAAATGTTTTTAAAATGATCTTTCGAAGTTCTACGAACATTACTTGTACCCAGTGCAAGACACGGAAAAAAGGAAAGTGGAAAGATGTTGATGACCACACTTCTCAGAGAAGAGACAGTCTAATCATACCCTTTTCCCATGATGAAACGTGATGTAGAGCTAAACGAGAGGCAGATGAGAGATAACAGAAATCTAAATTAGGATGTAACATGGCACAGTAAACCCACCACCCGAAAAACCAAAAAAGCTAATGTTGTTGTGTTGGGAATAACGGAAACTCAGCTACGCATAAAACATATGTTGCATAAAGTAGCAATTGGTTATAACAAGAATTAAAACATGTTATATGAGGCTCAAAGTCAATATCATTTATTGGCTAAGGCCTTGTGTACAGACTGATGAGTCTAGGTTGACAAAAAAGGTATACATGTATTCTGCTAGTTAGAAAGAACACTTCGACCAAAGACCGTGTATCACCGTCTTTGCTTCCACTGCAATGCTCTAGAATCATTCTAGTGGGACGAGTTTCCTCAGAAAAGCAAAGATTCGAGGAAGACAGGCGGATGTTAAAACGGATGCTGAAGAGAAAATGACAGGTAATATTAAAAACTTACTGAAAAGTCTGGCAGCAGCGGGAGTGCGATCGAAGGTAAAGAAGGGAGAAAAACTTGAACGAGCATTATAAATAGACGCAAAAATGTGACAAAACTCGTCTAAAATACCAGTCGAAAATCTATGCTAAAGTAAATGTTGTGCATCTCCCTTTCCCACTCTCTTTCTCTTTCTCTCTTTTTCTACTCTCTAGCTCGCTCGCTCCCTCCTCTCTCTCTCTCTCTCTCTCTC